TGTGGGTGTGGGTGTGGGTGTGGGTGTGGGTGTGGGTGTGGGTGTTCGTTCCTTCAGATACACCCACACCCACCCAAACCACACCCACACCCACCCAAACCACATCCACACCCACCCAAACCACACCCACACCCACACCCATCCACACCCCACACCCCACACCCCACATCCACACACCCACACGCACACCCCACACGCACACCCCACACGCACACTCTCACCCACACCCACACCCACACACACCCACACCCCAATAAATAAGACTAGAATTGGCGACTAATCGTTGTATTATGATGCCAATTGAATGTCCGTGGAAGTTTTTCAACAAAAGTGAGGCCTTCAATGGCTGAAAGTTTTAGCTTGGCTGGTCGCATTTCTGTACACCGCGGGAGAATTCTGGTGGAACCTTCCAAGTATCTAAATATTTAATATAAATGACGTGTTTTTGTTTATTGAAGTCGTATTCATATTTGACGAATTTTAATTTTTCTCTCCGTGGGCATATAAGAAATTCTTCTTCGTCAGGAAAGTTTGATACGTTAGAAACATCGGCACCAGAATATCGTTTCCCATTCATCAAACGTGTTCTCCAACTCGTAAGTTCCGGTGATAGATCAATAATAAGAAGTGTATTCCCAAACAATTCTGCCAATTCTCGATTTTTACTAGTTGAAGTGAAAGCTTTAAATTCAATGATACCGTCTTCTTTGTTAATAAATTCTTCTCTTTCTTCATCAGTAAGATTCAATCCACGGTAAACAGTTGAGAAGTCGTCGCTTCTGAATCCTCCATCAAAATACATATTGAGAAGATACAAGAATGAACCCATTGTTTTCACCTGTTTTTTGGTAATCATTTGAGGATTACGAAGGACATGATTCAGTAATTTGTACCAGAATGAATTTCTGGTATAGAGATGCACGGCTGTCTGACCAACTATTGGCGGAGGGCGGTGTGTAGTATCCTCTGCTCTCGAAGCTGCACCTGATTGTATAAGGTTCAACAGTTTTTGAGCTAGCCATTCTGCTTCATGCAGATTGCCGAGTGGTCTTCCTTCTTCGATAATTCCTTCAGCTGCATCGTCAATGATATTAGTTATTGTTTTATTATTTTTCTTTACTTCTTGAACAATATAAGCACCAACAATATCTGATGACCGCAGAAGTGGTAGTACATCGTCATTATTAACAGCTAAGTCTTCATCATCATTCATCGGTGTCGTTAGTGGAGTGAATGTTGTTACTACTACTGGGAAGGATGTGAAGCGTTCTTCGCGTAAATACGGATTCCTACGACCTTGATCAAGTTGAACACGTTTAATTTGAGTTTGCTGCGTGTTTGATGTAACTTGAACCATATTTTTAATGTCCAATACAAATTCACCATCAATTTCCACCATGTCTTTCTTCTCTTGATATGCATCTTCAATTATTTCATTGTCAATATCCGCATATTTAATCCACTCCTCTTTGTTAGTAGAACAAGGATTATTACTGGCAGAATTCCAGTGGTACCATTGAAAATTTCGTGGACAATGAAGAAAATAATCAGTGGCCATTATTAAAAAGAAAAATGAAAGCTTATATTCTGTTCTTTTTCTATCTATTATTTCTCTTTTACCACTCCAAGAAATTTCCAACGGAGAATAAGAGTCGAAATGAGTAAGAACAAATATATTCATTGTAAAATTGATGAGTAATAGGCCTTTTATTTCTTCCTTCTGTGGTATATAAATATCATTCAAAAGCATGAAGTATTTTTCCTCTTTTTTATCCATGGAATTTTTTCTTCCGTTCTGTACGCATACATCTTGTATATTGAGTTCGATTTATTCGCACGACACGTGCCACAAAGCGATAGAGAACGCGCACTACCAACTATAATGGCTTGTATGTAGTAGGACAAAACCAATATACGTATGATTCATAGGAAATTTCCTAACATTTATGAATGCCCTAGAATTTGTACCTGAACACATGTAAATAGAATCCTACGGGATAAGATTTTTGCAACAACTGACCAAGAAAATGATAGTGAACAGTTTCAAAACAACTGTCAATATCTTTTCTGTTATTTATTTAAAAGTAAAGATTTTAAAGTATAGCATGTCTGATGGAAATTAACAAGTAGCGTGGATCGAGGCGATCCACTGGGTCCCTTGACTGTGCGGACAAACACGCAAACAAACAGTCATTTTCGGGATTAAGATCCTGACTACAATCAAGGGAATAGATTCGAAGTACTACTTAGGTATGCGACAGTTCCAGTTAATTGTGTGTATTATAATTGATCTATGACTTATTGAATCATCGATAGTTTTCTTTGTGTTAGCACATTACAATCATCTAATCCTGATACCCTTGAGATAGCGAAGGAAGAGAGAGGCGAGAGAGAAGTGAAACCGTTATTTGAGTGGAGCTAGAAGTGCTTCTACCAAAACAAAGACAAGCATTTTTTTTCAATCGTGGAGGACCTCAAGTATGAAAAAATGAGTTAAGGTAAACTACTTAGGGCAGTCCAACAGTAGTGGCCCAGGTACCTTATTTTCTTATAATAGGCTTATTGAAATTTTCTTTCTATATGAGAAGATAGAGAAAGCGAAGCTCTATTTTTATATGCTATTTGATCAGTTTTTAACTGCTAACATAATAATAAAATTTCAATAAGAACTGTTTTTGTATAAAACATAAATATTAAATTTTATCATATTTTCATCTATGTGTATTTTATTTTGGGGTTTTTCCTTGTTTTTTCTATTCACTTTACCTTCTTCTTTTTTCTTCTCATCCTTTCTAATGCCTAGCTCTCTATAAATAGTGTACACGTAGTTTATAATAGCCAGTAGTAGTAGAGTAAAAGAAAAGAAATAGGAAACAAGTTCAACAAATTTTTATTTCATCAAATGTTCAAAATAATCTCCGTCATTGTCCACACACAATTGCATTCGTTGCATCCATTTATCTAACGTTTTCTTTATACTCTTCTCTATTCAAAGAATACATGAATGCGATTACAGCATCACGCAACGATTCGGCATCGTTTTGATCATCTCTATTTTGTTTGATTAAATCGAATAACCAAAAATCACATGGTGCAAGATCTGGAGAATTGGGTGGATGTGGTATTATTGTGATACGTTTTGATTCAAGGTAATCGAAGACAGCTTTGTGAACATGGGGTTTTCCATTGTCATGGAGTAGTTTAATACCATGTGTACCAAATGAGGGCCTTTGCTGCTTGATTTCATTTACATGAGGTTTTAAACACTTATGGCTGTAATACTGATGGTCGACAATTTGTCCGTGTTCAATACGATGAACAAGAACGGGACCAGTTGACTTAAAAAAGATGCAAAATAAGGTTTTTGGAACGAACTTATTGGGTCGAACTACTGTAGGTGGAGGATCTTCTTTTGCTACCCAAGCAGTATTTGATGATTTGCGACCAATTTGTGTGTGATAAAACCACGACTCATCACCGGTCACCACATCACATAAGCGCCACATCTTTTTTTCTAAGTTTTCTTTGCATATCCGAACTCGTTCAGCGCGCTGGAAATCAGTTAGATGCTTGGGAATATAACGGGCAGTAATCTTTGTAAGCGGCAAATGGTCGGAGATGATTGGGTGTGTGGTGCCGTGGCTTAGACCAGTTTGTTCCTGTATTTCTTCTATTGTCATATAAGGATCATCATCAATCAGAAGTCGAACTTGTTCAATATTTTCATCTGTTGTTTCGGTAATAGGCCTTCCAGGTCATGCTTCATCTTCAACTTCTTCCCGACCTTCATGAAACCACTTATTCCACCGTTTAACTGTTCTGAACGAAGGAGCTTGATCACCATGGACAGAATACAGTTCATTATGAATATCTTTTGCTGGAATATTAAGTGCGGTACACGTTTTAATATAAAACCGAAAATGTTCTTTATCCATTTAAAACTAATCAGTAGTGTTAAAGTTTAACCTGTGTCAAATAGTTTCTTGCAAATTGTTTATTAACGCAGAGTGATTACAGACTCAAGAGGGAACGTCCCCAACTGTCCAAAACCGATCGGGCTCATACTTTGGCCATCAGTAGGCCTCAGTGAGACTAAGAAAACTCCAGAAGGATTTGGGCTCATGGCCTATTAGCCAAGAGTTATGACCATTTTACTGAATTTTCAGCCTATCTGAAGGTGTTCACCAGAAAGACAAATTACAAGATTTCGATCTGAAATTTTTCCCCAAGATAAGCCTAATGATCATTGAGATACCCTGAAATTTTCAGCTCAAACGAACGTTTCTTTGTCGAAATATTGGATTTTCAAAAACCAGTCTCTTATCACATACTTGCCCTAAAAATCGAGTTTACGCGAAAATCGAATGTTTCGATAAAGGAACGTTCGTTTGAGCTGAAACTTTCAGGGCATCTCGATGATCATTAGGCTTATCTTTGGGAAAAATTTCAGGTCGAAATCTTCTAATTTGACTTTCTGGTGAACACCTTCAGATGGGCTGAAAATTCAGTAAAATGGTCATAACTCTTGGCTAATATGCCATGGCCCCGAATCCTTATGGAGTTTTCTTAGTCTCACTGAGGCCTACTCATGGCCCAAATATGAGTTCAATCGGCGTTGGACAGTTCGGAATGTTCCCTCGTCAGTATGCGCAACACTGAACTCCCACGTCTAAAGTGGCCGGTATATATACATGAGCTCAGTCATCCAAGGGTGTGAGTGTGGGTGTGGGTGCAGAGTGAAACATCAACACAATTACACCTAGAACCACACCCACACCCACATCCACACCCACCCACACCCACACCCACACCCACCCACCCACACCCACACCCACACCCACACCCACACCCACCCACACCCACACCCACACACCCACACCCACACCCAC